ACGTTAGTTGCATTGCCCTTGTCAGGGAATTGGAAGAACGCTCTAGATCTGTGACTCTCAAATGCAAGTCTAGACAAGCTGTACCAGAATCATTGGGAGTTCTGCTTGGCTGGTTAGTTTGCTAAAATTACTACTGATACATTTCTTTAAATATTTTAATTTAATGGTTTTGGGGTAGGGTCTAGAACGTGTCGTTTTTCAACGCTCCCCAGATGTGTGTATAATCAGGGGTGAGAACCACTGGTCCACAGGTCTACTCAGACAAGAAAGCCTTTCATGGCAAATAGGTTTTCAGGAAACAGTGCATGTGAAATGACTGGTTTCTTTCGCTCTCCAGGCTCTGTGAAGGTGTTGGACCAGTAAACATATGTAAGAAACTTTTTTTTTTTTCTCTTCACACACTTGTCTCCTCTTCAAACTTCCTTTAAACTCAGTCCACACTGGGGTCAGGGGCCTTCCAAGATGGCCGGTCTGGTCACGACAGTCAGGGTAGCTGGGACCATCTGGCCCTGGACTGGGAGCACCTCCTCAGCTGAGGTCCGAGATCTCCCCAGAGCCTGCCTTCCGCAGAGCAAAACATTCACAAAGGTTTGCAAGGCCTCCATAGTGGAGGAGAGTTAGTCCTGTTGCTTTGCGCGGACTTGTCCTTCACGGAAACCATCTAGGGGACTTACAAGGAGTGGGAAGGCCTCTGCCAGGGGAGGCTGTCATCCCCTGACGGCAGGAAACGCAGCAAGGCCTAATGGAAGTCTCCCTGCTGCTGCAGCCGAAGCATGGGTTGTACCCAAAGATGCAGGGCAGTGTGCCGGACATGGGATGCTGGGGGCACTCGCAAGGCAGACCCAGCCCCTGCTCTCTAGAAATAGAATCTTCTTGAGAAGATGAGTCCTAGCCACCATCAACCTAACCCTAGAAGGATCCCAGAGAGAAGAGCAGATATTGGCATCCCTGTTTCACCCACCCAGAGAAAATGCATGATTTACCAGAACTCACAAAGCAAACCAGAATTCAAACCCAGATTTCTGACTCCAAAAGCACAAATGAACACTGGCATATGGTGGAACCGAGTGCTAAACCGGGTGGGTCAGACAGTCAGAGCTACATGTACTTGGAGAATAGTGTCCCTCCCCACTCCCATGGAGGCGGTGGATGGGTAGAGGAAGCCATGGCAATGGCTTTCTGCAGGAGATCAAGCTTGAGTGAACATTGTGGTTGGCAGGAAGGATTCTGGGGACAACAAAAGGGCAGAAAAGAGTGCGTCTCTCCACGGAGAGGGCTGGGCTAGCAAGATTTAGTTGGATTCGAGTCCTGGGTCATGGAGGTATGTCCAGGGGAGAACAGAGGGCTACAGAGCAGAGCCACCGGTCGGTCAGGAGAGAGGTGACAAGGACTAGTGTTCGAGGGAGTTTCCGTGTGCTGGGCTAGGGGAAGTGTGGGGACCACCAAGGGGCATAATACAATTGGAAGAGGAAAGGCCTGCCATGGCTTTATGGAAGCTACTGCTCTAGCTATCTCGATAATCCAGCTCGCAACCCTACTGGACTTTTGCCGTATATAAATGACAGTCAACCTATGGATGTATGCAGACATCTGGGGAATGGGCTGCATTTGTCATTTTAATCTGGATGTTTGATTTTTTTGTTTATTTCTTTGAGACAGAGTCTTGCTCTGTCGCCAGGCTGGAGTGCAGTGACACGATCTCAGCTTACTGCCACCTCCAAACCCTTGGTTCAAGCGATTCTCCTGCCTCAGCCTCCTGAGTAGCTGGGATTACAGCCACGCGCCATCATGCTCAGCTAATTTTTGTAATTTTAGTAGAGACGGGGTTTCACCACGTTGGCCAGGATGGTCTCGATCTCCTGACCTCAAGTGATCCACCCACTTCGGCCTCCCAAGTGCTGGGATTACAGGGTGGTGCAAAGCAGGGGTAGCATGGAGGTGGAGGACTGGGCCCCGGTGTCGGCAGCCTCCCTGAAGCTTTCTTCCTCCACAGCTGTCAGCAGCTCCCGGGGCGGCCTGGTGTGCGGCTCTGAGCCTTTGGTTGCCGGCTCTACCCTCTGCCGTGGCGGGGTCACCTTCTCAACCAGCAGCAGCGTCCGTGCCACCAGCGGAGTCCTGACTTCCTGTGGCCCGAGCCTGGGGGGGGCCCGGGTCTCCCCGGCCGCTGGGGACCTGCTGAGCACTGGCACCAGGAGTGGCTCCGTGCTCGTTGGTGAGCCCTGTGCCCTCAGTGTCCCCTGCCCCCTGCCCGCAGAGCAGGGCTTCAGCAGCTGCAGTGGCAGCCGCAGCTCCAGTGTCCGCCTGGTGTCCACCACCACCTCCCGCAGGACCAAGTACTGAGAGCCCAGCCCCAGACCCGCTGCCCAGAGAAGAACCAGCTCCACGGCTCCTGCTTCTGCCCCCAGGGTGTGTGTGCTCTGGACCTGAGGGTCTCCAGCTCCCCTTCCTGCCAGGAAGCCACCCCTCAGCTCTCCCTCTGCTGTTCTACCTGCCCCCATGTCCCCTCCGAGGATTTTTCACCGTGTAGATGCTCCATTGGCAGTTCCAGCCAAGCTGACTTCTCCCTGACTCCCAATTTCTTTCCTTTGGGTCACTCCTCTCTCTGTCAGCAATAGCATGGAGAAATGGCTCATTCACTGCAGTAACAACAATCAATCCAGTGCCCTCACCACCTGTGACTATGGTTAATTTGGAGAACGGAGCTGACTGTCTGCACTGCAGGCATCCTTAAGTCCACATCCTTCACTTCCTTCCTCTTCCTTTCCCTGGCAGGAGAAGGTTCTTTCCTTCTCTCTCTGATTGATTCAGAGGATCCCAGTCCTTGGTGGCCCCAGGCTCCCTAAGCCCCGAGGGGGCTCTTCTTCCAGTGCCTTCTGTCCTGCTGTTTCTCTTCCTGGGTTGTTGGTATAACTCTGGCATGTGAGTCCACGAGGTGGGGTGCAGGCAGAGAGGCAGGCTCTGCAACGCTCCCCGTACTCCTGCCCCTGCTCATGGTGTGAGGCCCAGCCCTGTCCACTGCAGGGTTGTGTCTGCAAGCTCCAAGGAGGCCTGGGGGCCAGGTGGGGTGGGGTGCCTGTGTGCACTGCTCTTTGTGTTTCTGGGTTTTCAATAAACTTGCCAAGCTTACTTCACAGGGACTCTGGCCTCTACTTCTGGGTCACACCGGGGTTGGGGTAGCTGCCTCCTAGACTCCACCAGATCACAGCCTGCCCAGCTGAGGAGGGACAGAGACTGGTGTCCTGGGCACGGGGGAGGCACTGAGGAAAGAGGGCCCAGACCCTTCCCTGGAGGGGCTCACAGTTCTGCAGGGCATAGGAGAAGTAGCAAAGGCTCCAAAAACAAGTGTCAGCCAGCCCACTGCCTACTTCCCCCCACCACCGGGAGTAGCCTTGTGCTCAGAGGCACCTTCCCCTGACCAAAGTGAGCCCTATTGTTCCCCAGGTCTCACTCAACCTCTGTTCCTCCAGGACCCTGATAGGTCCTTCCTGGTCTTTCTGTCCCCACTCTTGTCTCCATCCAACTCATTCATCATGAAGCTGTTAGGCCTTTCTCACATAAAAAACTGACTGTGGTTCCCCAGCTCATATCCCTCAGTAGCTCCCCACTGCCTTCTAGAAATAGCCCAAGCTCCTTAACACGGCATGCAAGCCCTGTGTGATCTGCCCATAGACTCCCACCCCCAGCCATCCCCTCCATACAGCCCACTTCCCGCCTTCATCTTTCATACATTCATCCAACAAACATTTGATAAGTGCCTACCACATACCAGGCATGATGCTGGGAAAATGATAATGGACACAATTCAATCCCGGCCCTCGAAGAGCTTACAGTCCTGTCTGATAGATGGACAAGTGCACAAGCAGTTGACTCAACATGCCAAGCACTGTATTAAGAGTAGAACTCATGCTGTACTACACAGACAAGATGCCTAGCCCAGACTTGGGGCAGCAATAAATGCTTTCTGAAGGATGTCATGTCCCAGCAGAGATGCAAAGGATGGTGAATTAGCCATATTAAGAAGGAAGAAGTGTCCTAAGCAGAAGCAACAGCATGTGCAAAAACCAAGACATTGGAGAGAGCAGAGGTCTGAGGATTTGCCTGGAGTTGAAACTGACCATGACAATACTACAGAGTGCAAAACATAGCATCAGGTGGGGACAGGAGTCAGCCAGGGCACAGTCATGAACAGCACCCTGGGCACAGCTCCCCTGGGGCACAAGTCTCATAGTAGGAATGGTTTGCTGGTCGGCCTCACTCCAAGTCAGTTCTTCCAAGGGAGCACGAAGCACATCTCTCATGTTTGTATGTTCTGGATTGCCAAGACCCCTGCCAGCACCCTGAGGTCCTACTGGTTGCCCTGCTCACAGCCTCAGGCTTTGCCTGATGGTGGGGCTGCCAGCCACCAGCCCTTCTGTTTCCAGAGGCTCATGACGTCCCACCTTATCTTCTATATGCAAAGTCACACATACCTCTTGGGAGCAATTTTAATATTTGAAATTTAAAGTCATCAATGGGCCCATAACAAAAAGGAGTAGACAAAGGAGAGTCAATAACTCGAAGACAGATCAGTAGAAATTATCCAATCTGAAGAATAAAGAGAAAACAAGATTTGAAAAAGGTTTTTTTAAGCTAGAGAAAAATAACACATTACATATAGGAGAATTACAGTTCAAATTATCATAGATTTCTCATCAGAAATCATGAAAGACAGAAGAGAGCGGCACATCACCTTTGAAGTGCCAGGGGCTAGGGTTGGGGAAGAACTGTAAACACGGAAGTCTACAGCCAGCAAAAGTATCCTTCAGAAGCAGAGGCAAAAAGAAAACAAAACCCACAAAGAAACAAAAGACATTTCAGATGAAAGAAAACTAAGAGAATTGCCAACTGCAGACTTGCTCTTAAAGGAAACAATATCAGAGGGAAACGTAATTTCGGGAATGGAGAAAGAACAACAGAAATGGTAAATATCTGGGTAAATATAAAATGTATTTTTCTTTCTTTTATATTCTTTAAAAGACACATGACTATTGAAAATAAAAATGGGAACTGTTGGTGGGGTTCTAATTTATGTAGATGAACTATCTACGATGACTATCCCATAAAAGGAGGAAGGTCAATGTAAGTGATAAAAATATTACCTCTAAGTAGACTGTGAAAGAGTAGATTACATATGTTGTATCTCTAGAGTAGCCACTAAAAAGTAATACAAAGAGATATACTCAAAAATCAATAGAGGTCAGGCCACGTGGCTCATGCCGGTAGCCCAACACTGCAGGAGGCTGAGGCAGGAGGATCACTTGAGCACGAAGATCGAAACCAGCCTGGGTAATATGAGGAGACCCTGTCTCTGCAAAACAATACAGCTAGTGCTTGACTTACGACCACGGTCGGGACCGCGGACCGGTCGTAACACGATTTGGTTGTAAGTTGAGGAGGCTATATGTACAGTTGAAATGGTGCACGCGGAGATGGTAATGCTGCCAGAAGCTGGTCCGCACTGTCGTACGCCCAGCTGGGCAACGTTTGCGCTGCCAGACGCGGAGCAGTCGTGGCTAGCGATTGTGGTCGTAAAGTCGAATTGTTGTAAGTTGCATAGGTGGTAAGTCAATCAATACCTGTAATAATAAATAATAATTAATAAATAAGTGTTTTAAGTCATAGAAAAAAGAAAAAAATCTTAATATCTAAATAATCCAAAGAAGATAAAAAGGAAGAAATAGAGAAACAAACATCAGAAGGGCCAAAAAGAAAACAAATAACAAAATCACAGACCTTAAATAAAACGATATTAATAGTTACACAGAACATAAATGATCAAAACACATTGTCAGGGATAAAAAGCTTGCTTTTACCCATTTAGCTTTAGTGCTTGGAGTCTGTGAATTAAACTGACAAAAGACAGATTAACAGAAGGAAAGTTTAATGGCTACTGTCTCTGTCTTTGGTAATTTATGTCACTATTAACCTCATTTAATTGACATTATAGAGCACACCATGCCAAACAGAAAAATACACATTCTTTTCAAGTGACAACAGGGAACATTCACCCTGATAGACCTTGTAAATTATGTAGCCAGTCCTGCCTGAGTAGCTCTGTATCTACTAAGTATGCACTGAATGTACAGTTTTAAACTTTCCCACAAAGAAGAATTCAGACCTAAGTATTTTCACTGGTGAATTCTATCAAACATTTAAGGAAGAATTCAACCCAGACTCTTCCAGAAAACATAAGAGGAAGGAAAACTTCTCAATTCCTTTTGAGACCAGCATTACCCTGACACCAAAACCAAGTGACATTATAAGAAAAGAAAGCTTCATGAACAGAGATGAAAAAAATCCTCAGCAAGGTATTAGTAAATTAAGCACAGTAACAAATGAAAGCACAATACGTCACAATCAATTAGAGTTTAGCCTGGAAATGCAAGACTGGTTCAACTTTCAAAACTCTATTAATGTAATTCATGATATCAACAAACTAAATAGGAGAAGCAATATAATTATCTTGATAGAGGCAGAGAAAGCATTTGAAGAAATTTAACATCCATTCTTGGCTTAAAAAAGACAACTCTCAGCAACCAGAAATTGAAGAAAACTTCCTTAGTCTGGCAAATGGAATCTTAAAAAAAAAAAAACCTGCAGCTAACAGCATACTTAATGGTAAAAGACTGAATGCTTTCTTTCTAAAATCAGATACAAGATAAGGAAGTCTGCTTACACGACTCCTAGTATTGTACAAGTTGTCCTGGCCAGTAAATTAAGACAAAAAATATACAGTTTGGAAAGGAAGAAATACAGCTGTTTCTATTTTCAGAAGTCAACACATTCTATATAGAAAATTCTAGTAAATATATTTTTTAAAAACCTACTAGAGCTAATAAGTGAGTTTAGCAAGGTTGCAGGATGCAAGGTCAATATACAGAAATCGACTGTGTTTCTATACACCAGCTATGGAAATAAAAACTGTTAAAATATCATCCAATGTACGATTTAATTCCAAAGGATGCATACTTAGGCATAAAATGAGGAGCTGTATGCTGAAAACTACAAAACATTAATGAAAGAAATCAAAGAAGATTTAAATAAATGGAGAGATGTACTGTGTTCATGACCTGGAAGACTCAATATTATTAATATGTCAGTTTTCCCCCAAAGATGGCATGGGGGGGTAGCTACAGACTAGGGCACAGGCAGACCTGAGTTCCGTCCCAGGTCTTCCACTTACTGGCTGCGTGACCAAAGGTAATGAGAGGTAACAATAATACCTAACATATATTGAACTGAGTAGGGTTCCAAGTAATTCTCATAGGTTAACTCATTTTATCCTTTCAATAGCCTTAGGTAGTAGGTACTTTTATTATTTCCCATTTGACAGACGACAAAACTGAGGTCCAGAAGAGTTAAATAAGTGGTGAAGCAGAGGAGCTCTGACTCCTGAGCCCAGGCTTACTACCACCGTGCTGTTCTGCCTGTCACATCATCTCAGTACGCTTCTTGCCTCATTTGTAAAATGGAAAAATACGTCCCACCTCAAAGAGTTGTGGGGATGACAGGCAATGGCAATCCAAGGTGCTTAGCACTGAACCTGGCACGCGGGGGGGGCGGGGGCACGATTGCTTCAGTTTGGTGGTGGGCTTGGTGTCTGTTTATCAATGAACAGTAGCTTTGTCAGCAGTTCAGCCACTCCAGAACCAACCACAGGTGGATGCAGGAGCATCAGGGACTGTCTCCAGCTTCCAAAGCTCTGGAAACCAGAGCCAGCCGCAGGCAGATCCCTGGCCTTTTCTGCTTCTGCCACAGTGAACTGCCACCAGGCCAGTTGTGGGAATTTGCTGCCCTCTTCTGGCCACCAACTTCGGACAAGAAGGCACAGGAGATGTTCAAAGCAGGCTGCCAGCAGGACTGGCTTGTGCGATATGGCGAGGGGAGGGAGCTTAGAGTCTTGTGACCATTTTGTTTTCCTCCAAATTTGTAATTAGGACACAAACATACAAGCAATAAATAACAGCTTTTAAAAAGAAGTCCATCTCTTCTCACCAACCCAACACAGCCATTTTCACCGTGCTGTGCTCTTTGTCTCCATGGGTGTTCAGAAAACCACAGCCTTGAAGCAGGAAAGAGCCAGGGAGGGGGCTTAGCCCTGCAGCTTTCAAACTTCATGCGCTCCTCAGGGCTCAAGCGCCAGGGCTTCCCACAAGCTGTCATTTTCTGCCAAACCTCAAATATCTAAAGTATCCAAGATATCCATTCATTTATACATTCATCGGACAACAATATTTACTGAGCACTTACTGTATTCCAAGCACTGTTCTAGGTGAACAAAATAAACAAAACAAATAAAATCTCTGCTCCCAGGGAGTTTGCTTTGGGGTGAGGGGAGAACCAGACAATAATCCATAAATAGAATAAATAAGTAAATTCTGGAGTGTGTATCAGAGCAAGATAAGCCGGATGGAGAGTGCCCTGGGGTGGAGAGTGGACTGCCATTTTTTTCAAAGGGTCAGAGAGATGATATTGGGGAAAAACCCTGCAGGAGGTGATGGGCAAGCCATGTGGATGAGAGAAGAGCCTTTGGGCACAAGGGACAGCAGAGCACAGGCCCTGAGTCAGGAGTGTACCCCGTCCTGATTCTCCAGGAGCACAGGGAGACCAGCGACAAACGCCACAATATGGACAGGCAGTGTAGAGCCCTACTGCCATCGTTGGAACTCCAAGTGAAATAGGGAGTTGGGCGTTTGAGCAGCGGAGTGACCTGATCCAACTTATGTTTTATGGGGCTCACTCTCCTGTGTTGAGAATGGAGATGGGAGGCCAGGGGTAAACAGGAAGACCAGCATGTCGGTCTTATCTATTCTATAACTAAATAAGTAGATACACGGCTTTATATAGCTTTATATAGCTGTTCTCCTCCTACTGCCAAAAAGAAAAGAAAAAATTTCAAAATCATTCCTGCACTCCACTCCTGAAATCAGAGGCTCTGTAATGACTGAGCATCTGCTCTGACCCGGAGTAACCATGGAAAACAGCAAAGCACCAGGGAACGCCTTCAGGAAGGCACGCAGACAGAGTTCAGGAGGAGGGTGGAGTTTCTTGGAGTTCCTGTGGGGCAGGCCAGGGAGCAGCTGTGTCAGCTGGGCACAGAACCCTACCACGACACACTGGAGAATGTCAAGTGGCTCCGGCCTCCCTTCTCTCACTCAGGATTTCTGAATCATGCCATGCCCAAGTCCTGTGAAAGCCAAAGAGAGGTAAAGAGGGCTAAGAAGATCCTTCAATAGCTGCATCTCAGCACCAGCAGTGGCGTAGCCTTGGATGCATAATAAAAGTGTGGCCAGCAGAGGCAAAGAGCAGTGCCCAACTTAAATCAGCTGTTCAGGCCTTGTCCATGGGGAGCCCATCAGGATTGACTGAGGAGGATCAGCCTGCTAGAAGAGATAGGAAAACAACCCACAAGAGCCCAGGCAAACACAAACACAAAACTGGGAGGATAGACAGGCAGCCCTAAGGACAGTCAGTGCAGGACGAGGGAAGGTGCCAGCGCCCTCCTGTCTTTGGACAAATCCAGGAAGTCTTCCTAAAAGCAGAGGATTTTAGTACAGTGGAAAAAGCAGAAGGAAAGGGAGGCAGTGGGCCTCTGGGATGGGGGAGAGCCAGCTGCCCCAGGGAGCATCCCAGCTCAGGCAAAAAGCACCGCCTGAAGGTAGGGCTGAGGTGGGAGCAGGGGGACCTCTGAGAAAACCCCAGAATCTGTACTCTGGAGTGGGGCAGATCACAAGGGGTCTCAGATGTTGCCTGGGGCTCCAGGGTAGGGTAAAGAACTTCTCTCCCCAAGTAGTTCTTGAAGGCTTTCTGAAAAAAGTAGCCTCTTGGGAGCACTTTACGGCTGGGTTGTGGACTCTTGGGATTTCTGGAACTAGATGGGGCCTTCCAAAGGTGCAGGGAACAAGAGGGGACAGGGCTAAGGGAGGTGATGAGTGACAGCCCTTAGGACAAAAGGGTGTGGAAGGGGATAATTGGGGAGAGCCCCAGAGAAGGCATTTGTGAGACAGAGGGAGGAGAAATCACAGCCTCCCTCTAATGAGCTCACAAAGGCTTCCTGGAAGAGGCAGCTGTTCTCAGACATTCCAAGCCAAGGTGTGACAGGGATAAGGTTGATGGAAGGGAGCGGAGTGCGATGGGGCACAGGCGAACAAGGGCACAGCGAATGAGGATGAGACACTAAAAGGAGATGGGGCTTCCAGCCCTGCAAAGATCCTGACTCTCAGGGCAAAGACTTGGGTTCCAGTGAGCAGGGTGTTTGGGTGATGGCTAGAGAGGCTACATGTTCTCTGAGTCCCTCCTGGGTAGAACCATAAGCAAAGGCCCAGGTCCTTCCAGGACAGCTGTGCCAGATCCACCTGCCCTGACTTGCTCACTGGCCCTGGACCACCTGGGACCAGACCAGTAAGGAATCAGCTCCCCTCGAGGCTTTGCCCTCAGCCCAGCTCCTCCAATCTGAAGCTCCACCTGGACAGCAACTTGGGCAGCCCCCAAGCCCTGGGCTCAGCATTGCCATCAGCAGTGATGCAAGCTTCACCCAGCACGCATGAGCAGGGTGGGCAGGGTGGGCCATTGCAGGGGCTTGCACCTTTGGGCTGAATAGACCTGCTGGTCCTGGAGAGGTATCTCAGTTCTGGAAACAATGGGCTACCCCCAGTCTCCTGAATCCCCTGGCCCCACCTTCCCTTCCCAATTTAGGGTGAGGGTTAGATGGGGTGTGTGTTGGGTCCAGAAGAAAGCAATTGAAACAGGAGCCTCCCTCCAGGACAAAACCTCCTGCCCCCAAGGAGGAACAGAAATGGCTCTGGTCCCATCATCTTTAACAACCTGGAGGAGGGCAGAGGCTTAAGGGAGTTGTGGAGAGGGGGAGGTATTTATGGACTTTCAGGCCCCTCCACCTCCCACGCTGCTCGGAACTCCCTCTTGGCCCACACCACACCAGCTCCAGGTCTACACAGCAGCCAGTCAGTGAACTCTGTCCAAATTTATAGCCCACAGGTTATCCCAAGTTTGAGTTCTCCAATCCTTTTGACATCCCTGGTCCCCGGCAACAGGCCCTGCACTGAGTAGCAGGGGCTAGGGAATCGTCATCCCCTGCAGTCTCCCACAGAGCCTCCTCCCTGTCCCCAGACTCCACCCAGAATTGCTATACAAGTGAAATCAGACTAAAGGAAACATTAAAAGCAACCTTGAAAGGGTAAAGGAGTCATAAACATGCAGAGGAGGTGAAGACCATGGCAGGGCAAGGAGCAGGACCTCTCTACTGGGCAAGGCAGGTGGGAATGTTTCTCATGGGAAGCAATAGGCCCTTTCTGTTATCCAGAGCCTTCCCATCCCAACCGCACATTCTCATGTATCATGCACTTCACCCTTGAAACAGCCCCAGAATTTAAGGATGAATCCCACATTACATTTAAGGAAACAGGCTCAGAGAGGTTAAGAACTTCCCCAAAGCCATACTGCTAGTAAGGATCCAAACTGGACCTTGAACCAGGTCTTCCAGCTTTGATTCCATTGCCGGGTTGCCAAATCCAGATGCTTTTCCATGGATGATTATGACCTGGATATGTTCCAGGGGCAGCTGGTGAGACCACCTGATCTTCCCCCACCAGCTGTCAAGCTCTCTCTACCCTGCCCTGAAGAACAATGTGGAATGTAGAGGTGAGATGGGAATCGATCAGCCTGATCCTGGGTGAAGGTCCTGGGGGAGGTCGGCTGGCTGTGGAGATGAGGGCAGATGCAGGACAGAGTGTAGGGCATTTCATGAAGGACTTATGGGAACAGCAGCACAGTGGCAGAGTTTGGTTACGGAAGGCTTCCTGGAGGAATCACCTTCTGAGGAAGCTCACTGGCTCTTATTCCTTAAGTTCCTGACACTTGGGTGTCTGGCTAACCTCCCTGGGGGCAGACCAACATCCCCAAGGTTCGTACTCCATAAGCATTAAAAGAATAGCACTCATTATCCTAATAAGTGGCCCAAGGACACGCAGGGAAGCAGAAACCAGAAGGATGGGGCTCCCAGAACCCTGGGAGCCAGAACTCATGGCAACCTAAGACAAGAATAAGCCACCATCCCACTTCCAGCTTTGTGCAATGCAGTCTCCCCTAGGGATGACAATTCTGGAGCTGGCCAACAGAAGGAACACCTCCTGCAGCTGGTGGTCTGGGAAGGGAGACTCACATGACTTTTTTCTTCTTAAAGAGCAAAGGAAAGGTGACCACAGCAAATTTATAGCCCCCAGGTTATCCCAAGGTTTAGTTCTCCAATCCTTTTGGCCAAATGGAAGAAAGTATCTAGAGGGAGTCTCCCCATAATCTACAAGTGGCCATTATTGTGGCCACTGAGAGTTATGTGGTTTGCACTTTTGCTGGGTGAGAAATGAAAGCTCTGGACCAGCGCCTCTGGGCTGGAATCCAGACGGTTCCAAGAGACCATCTGCCCCAGCCCTCCATCCTGGCATGGGCATGTTCAGAATGACCGCTCTGCTCCTGAACCTTCCAAGCAATGCTGCCTGGATAGGGTGGGATTCACCTGACCTATTGGCCCCTGAAATGCAATGATTTACTTGAGAATGTGTCCTCTGTGGAACCAGGCAGAAGGATGCAATGGCCGCCCCCCAGTCTCATCTAACCTAGGACCCTACAGCCTCTCCCTTGAGACAATGGCACCTGCCCGTATCCCAAACCCGGCCACCCCCAGGCTGTTGTGCAGTTCAAATCCGTCTCCGAGTGTGGGTTGAGGCCATCTCACAGACAGACTGTGAGAAAATTAATTACTTAATGTATGTAAACGAGCTTTGAAGATGAAAAGTGCAAACGCAGTATCCTTAATAACATCTTCAAGACTTCACGGAGCCCGAGTCGCTGCTGAGCTCACCTTGAAGATGAGTCCGTGGGGAGTTGCTGGCAAACTCCCCAAGCCCATAAACAACATAAAATGGCTTTTCACTCCTTTTATGCAGCCAACCCCAGCTCTCCCCACCAATAAAAGGACCAGGGAGGATCAGAGAGACCAGAAGGATCCTGAGCCTCGCAATCTGCCACCCGCACCGCCTGCCGCTGTCTCTCAGACTCTGCTCAGCCGCACACCATGTCGTGCCGCTCCTACAGGATCAGCTCAGGATGCGGGGTCACCAGGAACTTCAGCTCCTGCTCAGCTGTGGCCCCCAAAACCGGCAACCGCTGCTGCATCAGCGCCCCCACCTACCGAGGGGTGTCCTGCTACCGGGGGCTGACGGGCTTCGGCAGCCGCAGCCTCTGCAACCTGGGCTCCTGCGGGCCCCGCATAGCCGTGGGGGGCTTCCGCGCCGGCTCCTGCGGGCGCAGCTTCGGCTACCGCTCCGGGGGCGTGTGCGGGCCCAGCCCCCCCTGCATCACCACCGTGTCGGTCAACGAGAGCCTCCTCACGCCCCTCAACCTGGAGATCGACCCCAACGCGCAGTGCGTCAAGCAGGAGGAGAAGGAGCAGATCAAGAGCCTCAACAGCAGGTTCGCGGCCTTCATCGACAAGGTGGGTAAGGCCTGAGACGGCCCAGAGAAGCCCCCAGCCCTGCTCTCCCTCGGGGAGGTTCCAATCTGCTGAGGAGACAGGATGGCTGCAGGTTTAAGGCAGGAGAGGGAATGACCTGCAGACCCACACAGGTGAAAGGGTCAGTTTCCATCATTTAACTCCCGCAGCATTTAATGAGGTCCGGGTGTGGTCTAGACATTGAGCCAGTGGTCCAAAGTGTGTGTGTATGTGTGTGTGGCATGTGAGTGTGTGTATGTGTGTGTGTGCATGTGAATGTATGTATGTGTGTGCGCATGTGCATGTGTGTAGCGGTATATGTGCGTGTATGTGTGTTAGTGTGTGTGAAAGTATGTGTACATGTGTGTGCATGTGTGTTTATGTGTGTGCATGTGTATCTGTGTAGCAGTATTGTGTGTGTATGTGTGTTAATGTGTGTGTGAAAGTGTGTGTATATGTGTGTATACGTGCGTGTGCATGTGTATGTGTGTAGCAGTATGTATGCGTGTATGTGTGTTAGTTTGTGTGTACATGTGTGTGAGTATATGTGTGTGTGTGCATGTGAGTGTATTTGTGTGAGCATGTGTGTCTTTCTTGAGCCAAGACGACACAGAACTATCAGAACTGTGTCTGAAAACTTGGACTGGGCAGCAGGTGCTGGAAGAGTGGGAGATAATGGGGAGACCAAAAGACCTTGTGTCTCCTAGCCAGGCAGTGTGTGAAGGGGCTGGGAATGCCCAGAGCCACACTGCCTCCCCCAAGCCCTCGCTGCACCACTCAGCGGTATGAGACACCAGGCAGTTTCCTCGGCTGGAGAACAGGACCTGCCTCATCCACTTGTGAGGGTTAATGAGTCCACGCATGAAACATGATGGCAAATAGTAAGCCCTCAGTACATGTCAGCTGTTATTATCATTACTTTCCAAGGACGGTGGTGGGTGAAGAGGTGTGACAGTTAGCCAATCCAGGCTTGGCAGCCTCTTCAGGAGGGAGGGCTAGAATGCAGACGGACAGGTGGCCAGGCTGGCAGGAGGAGACCTCCTAATGGACCCAGAGCATGGAGAATGCTGCATAGCTGTGAGGCTGCCTCCCAAGAAAGTTTTGTGAGGGGAGGCTGGGAGCCTCCTTCACAGGCTCCTCCTGTGTCCACAGGCCTCTAGCAGAGCAGAAGGACCAGGCTTGGGGGCCTAGGATCAGGGTTTAGGGAGCAGAAGCAGTGAACTTCCCGTTTTCACTTTTTCTTCAGTGATCCGAGTTCATCTTCACAGTGAGCGGTTGGGATGGGTATCAGCCTCTCCACTTTTCAGACAGCAGCCTGGGGGTGAGGGGGTGTATATGAGCAGCTCAGACATGCTGTAGGGGCAGGCAGAGCATGCCTATCTTGTGGCAAGACTATCGCTCACCATGAGCTGGGCATTTCACACCTTGAGGTCTCAATTTCCCCATGTGTAACATGGGGTAAAGTCTACGTCCCACAGGGCTGTGATAATTGGATGGAATGTAGAGATAGATGATATGGACATAGACACAGACATTAGACATGAATGTGTGTATCTTAGCACCGGCCTTGGCACTACGTAGTAAATATTTAATAAGTGTTTGTTGCATAAATGAGTAAGTGAAGGACAACTGGTAATTATAATAATAGTTAAATAGACTGAGCATTTACTGCATGTCAGGGACTGTTCCAAGCACTTGATATGCATTAACTTGTTAAATTTTCACAACAGTGCTAAGATAGGCACTATTCTCCTCTCCATTTTGGAGGGGAGAAAACTGAGCCCCAGGAGGTGAAACAATTTGCCCTTTAAAGTATCAAAGCCGGGGCTTGAAGCAGACCTTTGGTTAGCCAGGTTGCCTTCCTTCACACCCACAACTGCCTCCCTGGGGATCTGGGAATGGGTCCCTTGAGCTGCAGACACTCAGCTTTATGGCTCAGCCCATTCAGCCAGCACCCAAGGGCAGAGAGAGCTGTGGGGGACCAGGCACCTCCCCCCAGGCTTCCTCTGACCCTCTTCTCTCCGGAACGGCAGGTGCGCTTCCTGGAGCAACAGAACAAGCTGCTGGAGACCAAGTGGCAGTTCTACCAGAACCAGCGCTGCTGCGAGAGCAACCTAGAGCCGCTGTTCAGTGGCTACATTGAGACTCTGCGGCGGGAGGCTGAGTGCGTGGAGGCCGACAGTGGAAGGCTGGCCTCAGAGCTCAACCACGTGCAGGAGGTGCTGGAGGGCTTCAAGAAGAAGTGAGTGCAGCAAGCTGGGGGGACTCAGGGGAAACTCAGAGAGAAGACTGGGAGGCTCTGCCCATAGCCCTCTTCTTTCAGATTCCTCTAGCAGGCTGCCTGGAACCCAGAGCAGGGATCCAGTGGGGACTAGATTTCTTCAGATTCCTGGGATCCACCTCTAAAACTCTAGAGCTACTTCTAGGGGAGTGAGGAGAGGCAATCCAGTGGAATTCTAGCACTCTCTATGTCCCCTGCCCTTCACAGCTTACCTTTATGACATGGGCTCTGTGATCTCCCTGCCAATGGGACCATCTCTTTGAGATCTAGAATGCCCAGATGATTTTAGACTTGGGGGAAGGAATGTGCATTCCCAACCCCATCTCAGGCAGAAGGACTGCGGTGGAATGAAGCCAGGCTGGGACAAGGGCTAGCCGTGAATAATACACAAAATAGATCCTGGAGGGGCCAAGACAACATCTGGAGGGGATTCATCCCTTTTCAATCCCTGGAAGAGCTTGCCCAGGAGTTGGGATGGTATTCAAGTCCCGTTTCTCAGCTCCAGCCCTTCTCTCTCCCACACCCAGGTATGAAGAGGAGGTGGCCCTGAGAGCCACAGCAGAGAACGAGTTTGTGGTTCTAAAGAAGGTGAGGAGCTGGTCATGGGGCAAGGAGGAGGGCCCATCGGTGCACACTCCAGCAAGGGGCAGGGTCACCACGCTGACCGGAGGCACCTTCCTTTGGTCTTCTCTCACATGCGCGTCCCCTCCTCTCTGTCCCACTGCCAGGACGTGGACTGCGCCTACCTGCGGAAATCAGACCTGGAGGCCAATGTGGAGGCCCTGGTGGAGGAGTCTAGCTTCCTAAGGCGCCTCTATGAAGAGGTGAGGGGGCACCTGCCACCCAGCCAGGACAGGTGGAGGGCTGTTTTGGAGACGGGAGAGCAGCGGGGCAAGGGTGCATGTGTGTGCCTGTTTGCCAATGTGCAATGTAAGTGTGAAAAGAGCTTGCACACACATGCCAGGGGCCCACAATACAGAGGCCACACCCACATTCATGTGTGTGAGGAGCATGGAGTGTTCATGTTCTGGGGCTGCTCAGAGTCTGTGACCTCTGCATGTTGGTGTGCTGCCTGTGTGCTGCATGTGTGAGTGCCAGACTAGACATGGGCACGAGAGTGTGCATGTGTGGTGGGGGCCGGGATGGCTTCGCACATAGGGCATGGTCCTCATTAATGGACTAATCATTCATCCTGGCATCCAGACCCCAGCTCCCCTGGTGGGTGACTTTGGATCAGAACTTTTTCAACCTCTGGGCCTCAGTTTTCCCACTTCTAAGGCAGACACTGTTCCTAGGTGGCCTCTACAGCCCCTTTGTTGTTTGTAAGGAGCCCGTGTATGTGGGAAGGTGGTGGGAGCAGGAGTCATGTAAGCTTCATGGCCAGTGCCCCTCTAGGGAGTGGACATTGCCCCCTGGGGTGGCACAGCTCAGGGACCAGAAGCAAATGCACTGGCTGTCGGCCCCACAGGAGATCCGTGTTCTCCAAGCTCACATCTCAGACACCTCAGTCATAGTTAAGATGGACAACAGCCGGGACCTGAACATGGACTGCATCGTCGCTGAGATCAAGGCTCAGTATGACGATGTTGCCAGCCGCAGCCGGGCTGAGGCTGAGTCCTGGTACCGCAGCAAGGTGAGTGGCACAGGACACCTGCCTACTAGACAGAGCAGTGGGAGGGATGTGAGGTATCTATTAAATAGACTTCCTTTTCTAGGGATGCTGGTCCCTAGGGACGAGAAGAGAAGGGCTGTCTCTCTGAGGCTGGGGTGGCAGGGCAGGACTGCCACATGTGGTTGCACAGGCTGAGCACTGCACAATCTGCACAACCATCCGTGGTGTCCTGAATGGATGGGAGGTCCCGCCCTGAGCCTCCTGAGCATCTCTCCTTCCCCAGTGCGAGGAGATGAAGGCCACGGTGATCAGGCACGGGGAGACCCTGCGCCGCACCAAGGAGGAGATCAATGAGCTGAACCGCATGATCCAGAGGCTGACGGCTGAGATTGAGAATGCCAAGTGCCAGGTGGGGTCTGTGGAGGATTCAAATACCCAGCACAGGCAGGCTACAGCACCTGGTCCTAATCAGGCTTCATGGTGTGCCCATGAGGAAGCAGGGACCCAGAGGGAGGGCAGGAGCTCTATCATGTCTCACAGCACTCAGGCCATGTCACTGACTTCCAAAGGAAGACCCAGCCCCTTCCTTGGCCACCCTGTGACCACCATCAAGGAGAGATGGTGAAAAGCCCACCCATCTCCTCCCTCCTGTTCACAGCCCTATTAGCTACCTGGCCATGGGCCAATCTTCTCTCTAGGACCCTCCTCTCCCTGCCCTAGCTCCATCAGCTTGGGTGAGCCAAGCCGTGCCTTCTCTCTCTCATCCTGACCCTCACATCTCCACCCCGATAGCGTGCCAAGCTGGAAGCCGCTGTGGCCGAGGCAGAGCAGCAGGGTGAGGCGGCCCTCGCCGATGCCCGCTGCAAGCTGGCCGA